AGGCCGCGCAAACGGTCAAGCGGAGCCGAAGCCGGCCGCACAGCGATGTGGCCCGCGGGCGTGCACCAACCTGAGTGCGCGCAGAAGACAGCTCGTCTTCTCTACGCGCGCGCGCGCAGCCCAAGCATCTCCCAAGCAACGCCTTGTCTGTGCATTGGGCCCGGTGTTATCTCAGACGCGGGTCTGCCTCGGCAGCTGCTTGGCTGGGCCCTGGGTGCATTGGGCCTGGTGCGTTTGCCCAGGAGCCCAGCCCAGCAGCAGGCTTGACATCACTGCCCAACGCTCCTGCGAGGGCAGCCTGCAGGAGATTTTCATAGCCCCGAAATCGCGCAGCGGTTTTGGGGGCAGGAAAATCTCCCAAGGTGACCGGTGCCAAATGGGTGCCTTTTCGCTTCCTGGCCTCTTAGCCTTTTGGCAGCCCTCAAAGAATGCGACGTCGGGCGCTTTGAGTTGCAGGCGCAGCTCTCTGCCTGGGTGCCTCCAATAGGGGGCTGCGGCTCACGCGCCCGAGCGGCCTCACCTCCCGCTCGCCTCCGTCTTCCTCCTCTTCGCTGGCTGGCTGGTTGGTGGCTGGGATGTGCGGTGGAGAGCGCTCCTCGCTGCAGATGCTCCGATCCGTGTTCAGCACGTCGCAGCAGCGGGGCGACGCCCCGCAGCAGAGAGAATGTCCCGCAGGACGGGAGAGGCACTCCGCAGCGAGGCCGAGCTTCCCGCAGGACGGGAGGCAGCGCTGTGACAGGAAGAGCCCCCGCAGGACGGGAAGGCTTTCCGTCATGGAGCGCGCGGCGCCGCGCTGCCCACAGGATGGGAGAGCTGGCGGCGCCGCAACCCACCCTCTGCCACCCTATGTATGTGCTGTGGCTGTGGCTATTCCTGCAGGCTGCCCTGCTGGACTGGGGGCCTGGTGCGTTTGCCCAGGAGCCCAGCCCAGCAGCAGGCTTGACATCACTGCCCAACGCTCCTGCGAGGGCAGCCTGCAGGAGATTTTCAGAAGCGCAGCCACGCTGGCACGTTACTTGTCCCATCTCCGGACAGCGCTTCTCTGGTTGCGGGCTCCTTTGGGGCCGCTGGCGGACACATCCCGCGCAGTCCGAGGAGCAGAGAAGGCCGGCAGATCGCTCAGGCGCCCTCGTGTTCGGGCGACAGCTTCTGAAACAAAAGCTTTGGCGAGATGGTGTTCGACGTTCGGCTTCGCGGACGTCGGGGCGTCCTGGGTCGTGGCTAGACAATTTTGCTTACGGTATGGTGAGGTATTACAAACTGGCTCGTTTACAGCTCCGGTTGCATTGATGCCGCCGAAGGGGCGCGCAAGACAGTGACTATTGCTTACATGCACAGAAAATTTTACGCTGAGCCTGTGCAAGTTGTGAGAAAATGCATTTGTAGCTTACAAGGCAAGGCTCTTTGCGGGGTTTGCGTTCTGTGCTCCCGCCAGGCAGACGCAGATGGCCGATTGTTCTCGGAGGTTAGCTACTCTGAAAGTTTAGCGACCTTGAAAGTAGCAGCCCAAGCGTGCGGCTTCGAGAATGCATCGGCCTGGGGAACGCACGCGTTCCGACGTGGATGGGCCACAGAATGCCTACAGGCAAATGGTCCTACGGCTCTCTTTTACTCAGGCGGGTGGCGCGGGCTGTCTGCCTTCGCTTACGCCTCTGCGAGGGCTCGCGGCGGAATAGCTGCTGCGGAGTTCCTCATCGAGCACTCAGAGTCATCGGACGCTGCCGAGTAAAATGCTCCTGCTTGCAGGTGGGGGAGCGAGAATCATCAGTTGCATTTCGCTTCGCGCAGCTGTGCGGTCCACCTGGGTGCAGAGGGGTCTCCCAGAGTTGCCCCTGCCAGCTGCACGATAGCTGGTTGCCCACAGAACGTGTGGATACGCAATGGCACGGAGAGCGACGACAAATTTTAGTCGCCCTAAATCGCGTAGCGATTTGGGGGGCAGTGAAATTTGAGGAGCGTTTGTGCTCTACGCCTCCTGGCCTCTTTGCCTCAGTGCATGGCCTCGCCCTCACCAACGGTGGGCGCTCCCTAGTGGGAGCAGTGGATTCGTGTGTTGGGTGACGGGGAGTTTCTCTTTCCGCGCGCCTTGCCCTTCTCGGGGGCGGTGGTCCGTCGGTCTGTCTGTGGTCTGTCTCCGTCTGTCTGTCTGTCTGTCTGTCTGTCTGTCTGGTTCTGCCCGGAAGGGCAAAAGTGTGATACGCCCGAGGCGTGCCAGGCCCGGAAGGGCACTCGTGCGTCTCCCGCGGGCGTCGCTGGCCTCGCTCAGCGGTGTCTGGTTCTGCCCGGAAGGGCAAAAGTGTGATGCGCCCGAGGCGTGCCAGGCCCGGAAGGGCACTCGTGCGTCTCCCGCGAGCGTCGCTGGCCTCGCTCGGCGGTTTGGCGCTCGCAGGGTGTTCACTATGCGGCAGGATTTTGTCCCGCCCGCCCTCCCCGTGCTCTTGCGTTTCGCTGGCTGGGGTGCCGCGGAGGTCTCCCAGAGTTGCCCCTGCCAGCTGCACGATAGCTGGTTGCCCACAGAACGTGTGGATACGCAATGGCACGGAGAGCGACGACAAATTTTATGGTCTTGCCGGCGCCCTCGTCGCCTATCCGCCTTCCTCGTCGCCAATTTGCCGCCCAGCTGCGCCGCGCGCCCAGCTCGGCCAGTGAAGTGCGTTTCCATGCTCACGCACCCATAGGAGGTAGTCTGTGTGCAATTTCCCTGTTCGTGCCCAACTGGGCAAACTGGGAGCATTTTGTGCCCAAGCGGGCCAAGTGGGTGCAATCCGCGCTCCCGCGCCCAGACGTGCAATCAGAGTGCAATTTGGCGCTCGCGCCCCGCGTGGGTCAACTGGATGCAATCTCGCTCTCGCGCGCCCGCGGACGGGCAATCTGGGTGCAATTTTGCGCCAGCGCGCCCAACGGGCCTATTGGTGCAATCTCGCTCGCGCGACGAATGGGTGCAGGTTTGCGTTGGCGCGCCCAAGCGGGCAATTCGAGTGCAAGTCGCGCTTGCGCGACCAAACGAGCAAACTGTGCTCAATTTTGCGCTCGCGCGTCTTGAGTGGTAACCCGCGCTCGCGCACCCGACTGGGCTATCTGAGCGCAATTTCGCGCAGCGCCCTAACGGGCAGTTCGAGTGCAAATCGCGCTCGCGCGCCTAAAGGGGCCATTCGAGCACAATTGTGCGCTCGCGCGCCGGGACGGGCCAATTGGGTGCAATCGCGCGCTCGCGCGCCCAATGAGTTATCTGACGCACCTGCGCGTTCCGCGCGCCCGGAAGAGTTTCCTGAGCTCTTTCTCCGGTCTGCGGACAAAGCGCGCCCAGAATCACAATCTCAGCGCAAATTTGCGCCCCTGGAGGTCCGCGCGCCTGGAATTGACTTCAGGGGTCAACTGTGCGATCTGCGGCCGGGGCACACCCAGACTCGCAGTCTGGGCGCAAAGTCGCGCTCCTGGGCGCCCACGCGCCCAGAATTGCAATCTGTTCTATTCTGCGTTCTTGGGACGAGGCGCGCCCAGATATGTAATCTGAGCGTGGAGTCGCGCGCGCCTCTAGGCATCAGCGCGCCCAGGTCTGCATTCTGAGCTCTTTTCTGCGATCTGGGACCGAGGCGCGCCCAGAGCCGCGCTCTGAGTGCAATTTCGCGTTCCTGCCCCTCCCGCCCGTAGTTGCTTTCTGTGTGGTCTGTGGCCGAGGCGCGCCCAGATTCGCATTCTGAGTGCGACTTCGCGCGCCTGGGCGTGCGCTCAGAATGGTAGTCTGAGCTCATTTGTGCGTTCTGGCGCCGAGGCGCGCCCAGATTCACAATCTAAGCGCTCGCGTCGGCGCGCCCAGAATTGCATTCTGAGCTCGTTTTTTTTTTTTTGCGCTCTGGCACTGCCCAGATTCGCAATCTTAACGCAAATTCGCGCTCCTGGTGGCACTGGACGTCTCAGAGGACAGCTGCACGACAGTCGTCCGGGGCGCGATTTCGCGGACCACACGAGCAAGGAAGAGTGGCTACGGACACTCTGGGCACTCGGGGTCGGATGTGTGCAGGCGGCAGAAGCTAGTCCTTGATGGGCGGGCATTGGCTAACCCCCCACCTGCACACAACGGGGGCGGGTGTGCTTTGCACTTGTGCAGCACGCCCGCCCTCGACCGACCCCGGGAGGCCCGCGTCCCAAACGGGCGTAGTGGGCATGCCCATGCTGACGCCCTTCACCAGCGAAGTCAGAATCAAATTCTGTGTAGCTCGTGAAAATTGGGCTCTGGCCGCTGGCCATTTGGTCCGCTACGGACGGATTTCTTAGGCGCAATTTTCAGGCAGTCCGAAAAATTTCAGGGCGACGACGTCCGTCTGCATTAGCGTGGGATGTGCGGAAGCCCCCTCGCGTGCTGCCACTTGGCCAGAACAGGCCTCGGTACGCTGAAAATGACTCCTCTACTCACTCTGGCCCGGCGGAGGGGGAGGAGCAGGGAGACCCATGTAGTTCCCCTGGCCGCTGAGCGGTCAAAGGGGTTCGACTGGGATCGGCGTGGCACTGCTGTAGCTTGCATGGTTTTGCTCCAAGGTGACCCGAGTGGCCCCCCATGGCCGCGATGGACGTCGTAGGGAGGTCGCCGGGATGTGCAGCAGCGAGAGCTGTGCGAATTTGCGTCCAGGGAAGGCGGAGCGGAGCGGAGGACTCTCTCCCCTTCCTTCCTTCGCGCTGGGGCTCAAGCGGCCGACGTGCCGTTGTGACGGCTGGGCGCGATCGGAAAACTGGCTGCTGGACGCAGGTGGGGGTGCTCGAAAGCCTGAAGCGGCGGTGCGCCCATGTGCCACGGAGGGAATGGCCGTGTCAGTTGCGTTGCCAAAGGGTCCAGGCGTTGTCGACATTACCCTGTGTTTCCTACACACGCCCGTTGCTGTGTTGGCTCAGAAAGACAGGTGCTGCCAAGTTCATTCGACCCGACCGGCCCAGCAAAGGTGCCCCAAGTACTCATTCTAAGGGCCACACTCAATATGGCTTTCGCAGACAGCGACGTCCGCGCCATGGTCTCTGCCGCAGGGCACGGCGCTTTCGGCGGGAGCGGGAACGACAAGGTAGCTCACTGGGTGCAGTTCGTGGCGTCTGTGCAGGATGCCCCAGCAGATACTCACCCGCTCATCTTCTACGCGGGCACGGCCCGGGCGCTTGCCGAGTTCATTGGGTCAGTGGAGCCCACGGATTACGCAGAAGAGAAGATGCGTGATTTTGTCATCAGTAGCTTGCAAGTGAACGCTGTTCCTTTCGACCAGGACCAAGATGAGCAATGGGAAAACTTCAAGCTCAAACCTGCCCACATCACCTTGGCCCTCAAGGTCCAAACGAAGGCGATGCGTGAGTTCCCGTCGGGCTGCCCGGGCTCCAGCAGCGCCGCGGACCAGACTGCCCAGGCCATTGCAGAGTGGGCCAAGGTGCAACACGCCAAGGCGGAGAAAGAAGCAAAGCGCGGGACGTCGAGCTTCAACTTGCAGGACAGGATCGCTGAAGTGGGGCTCCGGTGCGTCCAAGGATATTTACTCCCCACAGAAGAGGCTCTGCTCCGAATGGAGAATCTCCCGTCGGCGAAGATTGCCAGGGGTAAGGGCCGGAAATGGGTGGGCTCCTCTGAGGGAGAAGATCTGCTTGCGAACTTCCGCCCAGGCTTTTCGAAAACGCCTAAACTGGACGTCCTCGTGGGCAGCGGGACCATCGGTGACAAAGTCAGGCCCGCGAAGCGAAGCGGGCCCGCACCATGGAGGAGCGGATCGGCTTTATGGGCTTCGCGAATTTTCTCGGTCACCTCCACGATTGGGGCACCAAAATGGTTCTCTCCAAGGTGATCACGCCCGTGCAGTACTGGGCGTACGAGATGCAATTAGTGCGCTTGTGTGAGGAGCGTGGCGGCACGAGGGTTGCGTTCTACTACGACTTGCTTCTCCGCCAAAAGCTGGCCCGTCGAACAGGGCCAGGGCGACCAGGTCGAGGTCTTGCTGTGCAGGCTGGATCGTGACGTGCTGGAGGACGCCTCGCACAAGGTCAAGCAGCGCGCCGAGGAGGTCAACCGGGCCAACTCGAAGCAGACGAGCGGCCCGGCGTCATCGCAGGGGTACGCGCCTTCGCAAGGAGGCAAGCCGGGATCGCAGGGCAAGGGGGGCCAGAAGGGTGGCAAGCCAGACAAAGGCGGAAAGCAGAGCAAGCCCGCCAGGCCGGCCCCGACCACGCCCCAGCGCTCCAGGAGCCCGCCCAAAGGCAAGGGCGCAGCTTCTGCGCAGTGGCACACCAAAGGCCAGGAGAAGAAGTGGTCCAGCTGGTGAAGTGAACCGCGTCTGCCTCCAGCGAGGCGCCTTCGGGAGAGGGACAACCCCTCGGCGATGCCTCGGGCGTGTTTAGCGCCGGCGAAGGCTTCTCTGCTCTCTGTGGCGCTGTAGAGCACTTTTTAAGTGATCCTGTTAGATTAGCGGGCACGGACCCGTTTGCTCATTTAGACTGGGCGCTGCACCTGCCGCTGTGCACCGGGGAGCCATCCCTGAGGCGTCCAGAGATGCAATAAATTGGCATTCAGCCGACCCCAGCGCACTGTGCGAGTTCAGGTGGCGCCAGTTGAGATACTGGAAACACCGCCAACAGGTGGCGGCGCTAGCGTGGCGCGACCAGTACGCCGCACGTCCGTGCCATATTGGGGCCTGAGAAGAACTTGGCGTTGTTTTCCGAGATGTTGGAGGCCTCGGGCTCTCCAGACACTCACCTCGCAGCATCGCTCGCGCAGGGTTTCCCTCTAGCGGGGTACATCCCCCCGAGTGGTGCCATGTGCTTGAGCGGCGCTGTTAGCCACACGTCGCCAGAGGAGCCGTTGGAGGCAGCGCCAGGCGCCAACGCTAGCATCCTGCAAAGAGTCCGAAACGCACCCGCAAGGGACGGTCGCGTTGCAGAAGGCCTCGAGGCCCGCATCCGGGCGGAGGTGGCGGCTGGACAGGCCGAGTGGCGCGATTTGCCATCGGATCTCTCGGGCGTGGTGTTGTCCCCTCGGTTCGCTGTGGACGAGGGCTGGCGCTTTCGCGATGGACAGTGGTCTCTCAAGGTCCGCGCCATCGATGACCTCACAGCTTCTGGGGTCAATGGCGCGACCACGGTCTCCGAACGCGTCGCCCACGAAACTCTCGATGATTTAGTGGCGGCGGCGCAGTGCCTCGTCGCTGGTGGAGCCAGCGCAGCGGACGTCCGCTTCCGCAAGGATGACGTCTGCGAGGCCTACAAAACTCTCCCGCTGCATAGTGAGCACCTCCCGTTTGCGGCCGCTGTGACGGCGGAGTCCGTCTCGCAGGATCAGTTCCTGCAGCTGTTCTGCTGTCCATTTGGGGGGAAGGCGAGTGTCCATGCCTGGCAGCGCGTGGGCGCGGCTTTTCAAGCCATACTTTTGCGTTTGTTTAGCATCGTGTATCCACGTTTCGTGGACGATTTTTTCGGCATTGATGCAGAGCAAGCGCACGAATGGGGTGATAGCGCCGTATGCGCCGCCTCTCTAGCTAGATTCGTCATCCAGGACTTGCTGGGCTGGCGTCTTGATTCACATAAAGCAGTTACGGCAGCGTTGAGTTTTGTTGCGCTGGGCGTTCGTGTGTCCGTGGACGCAACCACAGAGTGTTTAAATTTTGTCGTGCCCAGCGACAAGTGCGCCAAGTGGCTGGCGGAAATCGCAGAGGTGCTCCGGGACCAGCGTTTAACGCCAGCGCGCGCGCAGAAGCTGGCCGGCCGGCTCAGCTGGGGGGCCACAGCAGTCTTCGGGAAGGGCGCGCGCGTCTATCTGGCGCCGCTCTTCCGGCACTCAGCCGGGAGAAGCACTCGCATCTCCAAGCGTTTGCGCTTTGCGCTCCTGTGGTGGCAGCGTTTCCTCAATTCGCAGCCAAGCAGGGCCGTCCCGCTGTCGCCATCGGTGAAGCCACGTTTGGTGGTGTACACTGACGCCTCGGGAGCAGGCGTGCTGGCTTGGGTGGCAGTGCTGGCCGGGCGTAAGTTTTTCGCTTCAGCGCCAGTGCCGGGCTGGCTTGCGAGGTGGGCCTGCCCGCGTCAGCAGCAAATCCACACCTGGGAACTAGTAGCTGCAGTGTGTGCACTCTGGCAGTTTTTCAGTCTGCCCGAAGGCGTAGCGGGGCTCGACGTTGTGATTTTCATCGACTCGACAGTCGCACTCGGGACGCTGCTCCGCGGGTGCTCCCGCCAGCGTGACTGGAATGCTATGGTGGCTGGCGTGTGGTTTGCTGCAGCAGACCGTGGCCACTTTTTAAGTGCATTCCGCGTGCCTTCACATTTAAATTTGGCAGACTGGCCAACTCGTCCAGAGCAGAAGGCATCGGAGTTGGCACAGCTGGTCTCTCGCGGCTTCGCTCGCCTCGAGTGGGCTTGGCCGGCAGTGGATTTCTGGCAGCAGAGGCGGTGACGGGCATGCATTCGCGAGGAAGGAAAAAAGTGCAGTTGTTGATTCGTCAGCGTTTCTTGCCGCGTACTCCGGCGCACGGCCTCCCACGCAGTCATCCGTAGTCAGCTTGGCCCAACATGGCACTTGAGTTCATCAACCGCAAACGCGCGCGGTGGGCTTTGGGCGATGGCGCTTCGGACCCTGAGCCGCCAGAAGAAGCATGCTCCCATGATGTGGTGCCGCCTGCTCTTGCACAGTGGTTCACAGGGGTGCTTCGGCGCACGCCGCCGCGTTACCACCCGGCATCGCCTGACAATGTGTTGCGCGCTCTCGCCAGTGGCGGGGCCGTGGCCGGAGATGACTTCAACGACATGAGTGTGCAGGAACTTCGGGACGTCTGGCCGTGCCTTCGAGAGCTGGCCAGTGAATTCTTGGCCATTTTCCCTTCCGGGAAGCGCTCTCCTGTGGCGCCGCCGGCAGGGCACTCCCAGGGCAGCGGCGGCCCGAGCGGTGAGGTCGCATCGCCTTTGGTGGAAAGCGCCGCGCCCGCAGGGCCAGAAGGGGGCGAAGCTGAAGCTGCCCTTGCTGCTCTTGGCTTCCTGGCCGCAGCTCGCTTTCGGAGGACTTTCCTGGAGCCCAAGGACTTGGCCGACGCAGTGCAAACGCTGGGCCGCGTTACGCCTGAAGAGCTCCAAGTGGCATGGGCTCGGCGTCACGGAGGCGCAGGGGGCAACCCGAGAGAGCGTGCTTTGCAACTGGTGGGCAATATGTCTGAGTTTGCAGCGACGCAGGAGCTTTTGAGACGAGAGCTCTGCGGGTGGCATCGGAGTGCTTACAAGTATGCGTCCGCAGTGCGGCTTTGGGGCCAGGTAGCCAAGGGCCTCGGAGTGCCGCCGTGGCCGCCGACAGACATCGTGCTGGGGGCCTTTGCTTTCGCAGTGCAGAACGGCAACACGCTGATGACGTACTGCACACAGGTCCGGGCGGCCCTGCGGTTGGTCCGGGTCCCTCTGGGGTGTTTGGAAGGTACCTCAAGTTTGGCACGGGGGGCCGCCAAAACGGTGCCCGGCACGAACCGCTTTCGAGCGCGGGCCAGTGCGCACGACACCCGCAGCGTTGCTGGCCACGTGCGGGAGGTGCTCCGGGATCCTCTGGTGGCGGATTCCTTCGTGGTCGCCAGACATTTCTGTCTCCGTTTCGCGTCGGAGGTGGTGCCTCTGGAGCACGACGGGCCGCGCTCCAGGGTCGTGCTCTCGGTCGACGGGGGCTTGCCCAAGGCGTGCATCTACTTGCACAAGCGCAAGATGCACACAGAGACAGTGGTGGTGACGAGGCGGTGCATCTGCGTTTTCCAGTCGCGGCAACTGTGCGGGGTGTGCGTCCTGCAGCGCCGGGCTGGGCGGGGGCGCGTCTTCCCTGGCCTGTCCTACAGGGCGGCTCTGGCCACGCTGAAAGCGTCGGCGCTGGCGCTCGGCTTCGAGCGCGCGGCCGAGTGGGGTACACATGCCTTCCGCAGAGGCTGGGCGGACGAGTGTTTAGCGGCGGGCGGCGTGCCGGCGCTCTTCCACAGTGGAGGCTGGCGTGGCGTCGCTGCGTTCGGCTACGCCTCTGCCGCCTCCAGAGACGCCATGACTGCTGCGGAGTGGCCAGTGGAGTTTTCGTCCTCGTCTGCGTCCGACGGCGCGCCGTGAGCAGTGGAGACTGTGAAAATCATCGTCGGGTTTGTGCCATCATCAGTGCTGCTGTGCTCTCGTCGTCAGCAGTGGGGTTGGGGTCCGGGTCGCCGAGAGCCCCAGCATTGGGTCTCGAGGGCTCCCTGGGGTCTCTCGTGCTCCCCTGCCCGGCTGCACGCTGTGTGTCGCCCAGCGGTCCGTGCGAGCGCACAGGACCATCCCAGAGGAGAGCGGCCGCACGAGAATCTTCATCATCCCTAAGCTTTGGTTCTGGGGAGGAAGATTCTCACAGGCCGTTTCTGTCCCCATTCGGGGATTCGGTGATTCGGTTGCCTTTCGGCGTCTCCGCTCCCCTTGCCGCCCGGGCCCGAGGCGGGGTAGCAAATATCGGCCAGTGCTCCCGTGGGAGCCGCGTGGCTACGCTGCAGGCCAACGGCTGTGCAGTGTGGCCTGGGCGCGCGCGGCCTCGTCGGGGCGACGCTCTGGCGGGCCGGCGCGCTCTCCTGCGGGCCGCGGGCGTTGGTCGCCTGGGGCGTATGTGGCGCAGTCGATTCGGTCTGGCGCTGACCAATCCAGCATTGCATTCTGTTCATGGTCTTGCGCTTTTGGCTGGCGCGCGCAGATTGGCAATTGTGGCGCAGCTACTCCAGCGTCACGCTCCCCAATCACATCCTGAGCATGCTTTCGCGTTGGTTCGCAATAGCCACTGGTTCGCCCAATTCTCGCGACGACGCCCAGAATTGCATTCTGAGCTCGTTTTCGCGTGACTGGCTCCTGCGCGTCCAGATTCACTGCGCAATTTCAGCCAATTTTAGTGCCGGCGCGCCGAGAATTGCATTCTGAGCTCGTTTTCTTTTTTCATGAAGCGTAAACTCGTTTCCGGCACAGGAAAATCATGTGGAGCAGGCCGAAGCGTGCTCGCCTCACCTCCTCTGCTCCCGCTCACACGCTTCTGCGCCTGCTTCGCGGGCAAGCGGTTCCTGGCGGGCCGGCTTGCGTTTTCGGAGGCGGAAGTATTCTCGGTGCTAGTCTCTTGGGTCAGCCGTTCTGGTCGCCCCACAGGAGACGCTCTCGGTCTCTGCGGGGAGCAGGGCCGAGCCAGGCCAAAGCACGAGCGACGGCCTGGTGCGCTGTGGCACTGCCCGCTCCCTCGCAGGCACGTGCCTGAGAGCTTGTCGGCAGGGGCCGCCTTCTCAGGCTCTCTGGTGACCGAACGCTCGCCGCGTGG